CCAATTCGGTTGATTTCGTTCGTTGGTGGTTATTTAGGTAGAACCTAAAATTACGAATAAGTCCACCAGAGGAGACAGATTGTTGTTCCGATCGTGGGAGCCCTGTCACGAGCTGCGTCTAACCGTCTAGCCATGCTGTACATTTGCGTCAACTATTCACAACGGCGTCTTGTCTCCTTTGAGGACCACACTCGAAATTAAACTGACTTCTCACCTGTCTAAGCACGTTGAGCCGACTCAGTGTTAGAGTATTTCGGGAATATTCACTCGACTCAGTGCTGCAAGTTAACCACATCGCCAATTACAGTTTTCCATTCGTGGATGGTGGTACGTAATAGGTTCGAATTACTTGTGGCAGTGCCAGTTTCAGATCATTGGTCAGTTTGATTCGTCAAACAGACTCCCAACCAACGTCGTCAACTCAAATATTCATAGCCTTAGCTATCTTGCCTCACTCCACGAGCTCGCTTACAATTATTTTGTTATTTGACCTGTGTGTTATTATTTGCACACGCATTTCATGACTGAAGGAAAGTGCAGAATATCTAGACGTAAGATGGTTCAGGCCTAACCGGACAGATTTATTTGTTGTTGTTCTTTTCGTCTGACCGTTGTCTGATCATTTGGTCAGACACACCATCTATACCTGTCATTCCTCTGCATTGTGACTTGCACGACGGGTGGATAATTTATTATATAGCAGTGTTAATTAACGAACACTTTCCAGTGTTGCTCTCAATTCGTTCTTTTGATTGCATGACCCTAGTCATGGTCTACCTCGCACCTTGATAAAAGTTGACAAAACTGGTGAACGAGTGGAACCCAACAGTTCGGCCATGGAGAACGATCGATTCCGCACACCATGCTCCACAGAGTGGACGCAACACTGATAACTTGCGCAGCGCCTAACGCTCTCGCTCTTATTTCTCATTCATCTGTCTACAGTGGCACCAAAACGACGGACAGCGGGTGCGAGCGCGATGACTGATAAAAATACCTCTCCTGTCTACACGGGCCACACAAGGAATGGTCCCTACAATCTGCACCGGACTTTCATTAGGGCAAGTCGGATCTCACCTGCGTGAAAGTATCATAGGGGCCACATTAGGAGGGAACCACTGGAACCACAACTCTTGACGCATCAAATCAAGCTCGTCAAGTCGATTATGCTTAGGACTGCGATGAGGTGCCTTGGGGTGGATTCGCCAGTGTTGATTTCGCTATCTGTGTCCTTGCATACATACCAGTTAACGGTTACCCAGTGGGTTATGAGACAGGATGTGACGTACAGACATGCGTTTATGACTGGCGCGGACTCTGTGCAGCCAAATGGGCGCGTGAACTGAGCAAGTCTCATCCTCATTTTGGTCAAAGGATCCACAGAGTAGCTCGTTGTCTGAGCCACACTTCTCGATATCTATGTTTACGACATCTT